GGTAAGGACAACGTCTCCGTCGACGCAAAGGCTCGGCAGGTCTGCCAGCAGCGCCTTTATAAGACTGGGAGTTCCCCAGCTCAGAGTTTCTCAGCGATGAGCGGCTCTTACTTGGATCCACCTCAGTCCCCAAGGGCTTGTAACACAAGGGAACCAAAGGAAACATCAGCCACCTGCTGCCAACTGAGTCATGTGTAACACAATCCTTTATCTGTAAATCAGAAGTTGTCTGTGGCATCTACAAAACTGGCAAGCAGGGTAAAAATCTAATACTCTATCTTTTTTTTTTTTTTTTTTTAAGTTTTTGCTACAGCGTATGTGAACTCATTCACCAGAGAGAGACAGAGGAAAGGAAGGGGGAAGTAAGAAATCATCCCCCAGAGAGGATGGCCACACCGCAATCCCTTCTCCTTCACTCTCTTCTCGGGATTCGGGGTGCACGCACACACACACAAGCTGGGTGTGATTTTCAAGTCGCTGGGCCTGGGACTCGAACTGCAAAGTCAGTCATGTGGTATCCAGCCACCTTAACCTCCATGCCACCTGCTGACCCTGTTTTCCAATGCTTTTTTGCAACTCTGATGTAATCATATGGTTTTTTTCTTTATAAGATTATTAATATGGGTGGATTACACAGATTTTTGCCTATAAGCCAACTCTTTTGTTCTTGGGGATAAACCCTACTTAATCATTACATATTCTCTTTTTATGAAGTATTAGATTAAATTTGCTAAAATTTTGTTTAAATTTTTACAGCTGTGTTGATACAGACCTGAGTTTTCCTCTCTTGAAACAACCTTGGTTTTGGAGTCAGGGTAATGCTGCCCTTATACGAAGTGTTGGAAAGTACTCCTTCCCTTCCAATTTTTTTTTGAGAGTTTGTACAGAATTGGTATTATTTACTCCTTAAATATTTCATAGTATTTACCAAGGAATCTGCTTTAGAGTTACACCATAGGAAGATTTTAGACTACAATTTCTATAACAAATATAGCACCATATAAGTTATCTAGTTCTTCCTGCATGATCATAAGTGTCTTCAAAGGAATTTGTACATTTCATCCACATTGTCAAATTTATTAGCATAAAGATGCCTTTTTTTTTAAAGAGAGATTTTTGCTATAATGTGTGTGTGTGCTCGCCAGAGAGACAGAGACAAAGAGAAAGAAGCGAGAAATCACCCCCCAGGGGAGATGGCCATGCCGCCATCCCTTCTCCATTCTCCTCTCAGGATCTTGGGCATGCATGCATACAGGACTCGAACCAGTGATATAACCATGATGCCATCTGCTGGTCCCAATGTAAACTGGCCTTTCAAAAGTATAAACAGCAGTGATGTTAAAGTGTATGGAACCTGGAGTGATACCACCTCTCTCATTCCTATAGTCCTCTTATTTCTGATCAATCTGACTAGAAGGATTTTTTTGTAATTTTAATTTAATTTTATGTATCATTATGTTTGCATTTGCTGTGAGGCACACACTCACCAGTTAAGTTTTTGCTACAGCGTATGTGAACTCATTCACCAGAGAGAGACAGAGGAAAGGAAGGGGGAAGTAAGAAATCATCCCCCAGAGAGGATGGCCACACCGCAATCCCTTCTCCTTCACTCTCTTCTCGGGATTCGGGGTGCACGCACACACACACAAGCTGGGTGTGATTTTCAAGTCGCTGGGCCTGGGACTCGAACTGCAAAGTCAGTCATGTGGTATCCAGCCACCTTAACCTCCATGCCACCTGCTGACCCTGTTTTCCAATGCTTTTTTGCAACTCTGATGTAATCATATGGTTTTTTTCTTTATAAGATTATTAATATGGGTGGATTACACAGATTTTTGCCTATAAGCCAACTCTTTTGTTCTTGGGGATAAACCCTACTTAATCATTACATATTCTCTTTTTATGAAGTATTAGATTAAATTTGCTAAAATTTTGTTTAAATTTTTACAGCTGTGTTGATACAGACCTGAGTTTTCCTCTCTTGAAACAACCTTGGTTTTGGAGTCAGGGTAATGCTGCCCTTATACGAAGTGTTGGAAAGTACTCCTTCCCTTCCAATTTTTTTTTGAGAGTTTGTACAGAATTGGTATTATTTACTCCTTAAATATTTCATAGTATTTACCAAGGAATCTGCTTTAGAGTTACACCATAGGAAGATTTTAGACTACAATTTCTATAACAAATATAGCACCATATAAGTTATCTAGTTCTTCCTGCATGATCATAAGTGTCTTCAAAGGAATTTGTACATTTCATCCACATTGTCAAATTTATTAGCATAAAGATGCCTTTTTTTTTAAAGAGAGATTTTTGCTATAATGTGTGTGTGTGCTCGCCAGAGAGACAGAGACAAAGAGAAAGAAGCGAGAAATCACCCCCCAGGGGAGATGGCCATGCCGCCATCCCTTCTCCATTCTCCTCTCAGGATCTTGGGCATGCATGCATACAGGACTCGAACCAGTGATATAACCATGATGCCATCTGCTGGTCCCAATGTAAACTGGCCTTTCAAAAGTATAAACAGCAGTGATGTTAAAGTGTATGGAACCTGGAGTGATACCACCTCTCTCATTCCTATAGTCCTCTTATTTCTGATCAATCTGACTAGAAGGATTTTTTTGTAATTTTAATTTAATTTTATGTATCATTATGTTTGCATTTGCTGTGAGGCACACACTCACCAGAAAGGCAGAGAGAGAGAAAGTGAGAAAGCAAGCTGCCAGGTCCAGGACTTGGAACAGTGGTCAGCCATGTGGGAGTCCAGTGCCACAACCATAATGCCACCTGCCAGACCCAGTCTGACTATAAGTTTATTAAATTTTATTTAGCATCTTAGAGAAGTAACTTTTGGGTTCATTCATGTTCTCCATTGTTTAGCTCTAATTTTTCACTCATTTCAACTCTGATTTTTATTATTTCCTCCCAACTGCTTATTTGATGTTTAATTTGCTCTTCACTCTCCTCTTTCTTTCTCTCTCTCTTTTTTTAAAGAGGTTTTTGCCTGAGGGTGCATGTGCTTGCCAGAGAGAGGCAGAGGCAGAGACAGTGAGAGGGAAAATGAGAAATCACCACCCGCAGGCGGGATGGCCACACCGCAATCCCTTTTCCTTCATTTTCCTCCTAGGATTTTGGGTATGCATGCGCACATGTGCACATGTGCAGGTGTGCCCATGCACACACACTCCCCCTTCCAAGCATGACTGTCAAGCTGCCAGGTCTGGGACCTGAACCACACACAGTCAGCCATGTGGGAGTCCAGCACCTTAACCATCATGCCACCTGCTGGCCCCCACAGCTACTATTTTTACCAGAGACTGCCAAGTTTGTTTTGGTGCATTTACACACTATGGACAGACACACCATTCCAATTTAAAGCACTAATTCTTCTCCACCAGTTTCTTAATTTAATAAAACTTTGCTTTACTCTACGGCACCAAAATTTGTATTCACTGTATCCACATGTAATTTCCTCTCTAGTGAGTTGAACTTTTTAAATGAGTTCATGCTAGCATTTATGGTTGAATAAATTCAGTTTTCTTTGAAGGATATGAGTATATATAAATTTAATAGCTATAGTTTTATTTTTTCTATGTGCAAATGCAGAAGTTGCATTTATATATTCAGTATTTAAGTTAATCATTTTCAATTTTGTGTACATATGAAATTGAGGCAAGAACTGTTAATGGACTGAATTAATTTTAAAATAAACAAATCTACCTAATACAATAGTTCTGAAAGTTAACCTTAACATGGCATAACAGTAAAACTTTTTATTTTGGAGAGGTTTTTGCTATAGGATGTGTGTGCTCACCAGAAAGACAGAAAGGGACAGAGCCAGAAAGTGAGAAATCACCCCCTGGGGAGCAATCCCTTCTCCTCTATTCTCCTCTCGGGATCTTGAGCATGCACGCACATGCTCCCAGCGTGAGTTTAAGCCACCCGGTCCAGGACTTGAACCGCGGTCGACTACATGGGAGTCCAGCAACACAGCCATTATGCTAACTGCTGGTCCCGGTCCATGGTTTTAGAGAAACAACAAACAACACATTTATTCTTAAAGTGAAAAAGACCAGATTACAGACGTAGATTTAAAAATAGTATTTCAGGACAATAGAAGAAAATATCAGACAGATAAACATTAAGCATTGGCTTCTGGAAATCAAGGGAATAAAGTAATAAAACCAGTATAGAGTAAAAGCACTTTCAAAACAACAATAATAGCATAATTAAGACTGCAACAGAGTTGGTGAAGTAGTGGTCTTCACATAGAAAGAACCAGGATATGAAGTGGTCACAGGGAGCATGATGGCTAGGGGTCAAGACAAAAGTGACCCAATAGCAATACTGAACTTCCAAACATTAAAAGTTGCAATCAAATAAACGTTAAAATTTATGATGGAATATAATTTTTCTGAAGTAGTGACAGCCTTGATCTGAAGAACAAAAGCTCCTGTCAGATGGCAGCAGACATAGGTGGGTCACAGGATTCTTAAACAGACCTGTCAACAAGAAGACAAATTCTGGTCTGACTATATGAACATTAGGAGAAATACTATTATAGCCTCAGATTGCTCTCAAGTAGCTTTTTATACTAAAGAATAGAGAAACATACAAATTCCTGATGAAGTATCTTCTTTTTTTCATGAATAAAAAGAAAAGTTTTATTTTTATTTATTTTATACATTCAATTGCATATGTCATTTAGCTTGTAAAGATATTTAACTCAACATGAAATACACCTCAAATCAGTCCTGTTGAAAATAGTATACATGTTATCTTCAACAGGTATTAAACCATGCCTGGGTCCCACAAATGTCTTACCTCTTCATTTTTCTCCCTAATTTCCATTACACTAATTGCTGGTCCCAACAGTAAAAGTTTTTGACAGTAAAATTTATGACTAGACCTGCAGACAAAAGAGTGTGTCTAAGACAGGACCCATGTTCTTCCCCATTACCTTTCCCCTTACATCCAGTCTGCAGTCCTGTTGATGTCTTGTTTTATGTAGGAGAAATATACTACTACTCAACCTCTACTGTAAGGTCGGCAGCCCTGAGAACTCCTTCTCAATGTAGCATGTGATGGATGTATTCCTGCTCCAAAAGAATGCAGAACAGACGTTTCCACATGCAAGTAGTAAAATTACCAAGTCCACCCCCTCCTCTCTAACCCATACTTCACGTCCCGCCAAGTCGCCTGGGACTCAGACCATTTTGAGAGGCTCGTAGCTTCTCTGACACCGTTTCAATCCAACCTGCACCCTACAGGAACAGTAACCGTGATTAGCAGAGCCATGTCCTTTCAACATTCCAGTATCTGTGACAGGTACACACCCAATGACTACAGTCCAGTCAAAAGACACAACGGGGCATGCAATCTGGCCTCAGTTTATCTTTTCGGCTTCAGATCCAAATACTCTTCCAGTCCACTGTGCTGCAGTTCCTCTTCTGGCTGATCCCTAAGCCATACACTTGAATGTCACTACTGTTTTGCTTTTCCTCTGCCTGTGCTCTTCCAGCGCCCATGTGCTATGGCATGTCGTGCATACTCTCAGCAGTTCACACATCGTGTTTGACTGGCAATTCTTGGCTTCAGCAGTCATGGTTTATTCATATTAAAAATTCCCAATCTTCACCAGAGTGCTTGAGATACAGTAGATGAAGGTATATATGCATGACAATCGATATTCCCAGTATTCGGCCAGACAACAGACATTATCTGCATCAACGTTTAATTGCTATCCTAAGTACAAGTTCTAATATCATGGCTCGAATTAAAGACACTGAGAACATTTAACAGAAATAAACTTCATGCTCAAAGAGGCTGGGAAGAGTGGAACTGAAAAGTCCGGCGAGTGGATTAATTAGCACGGAAGGCAATGTGTCTAGCCAGGAAAGCATGCGGCCTGCACTGGAGCACCAGCTCAAGAAAACCCACTTCACTGGAAAACAAAAACCAGCAGAGCACAGAACCCGCGAGTAAGGACGTCCCGAGTAACTAGAATCGCGAGTTCCCGGGCGGCTCGGGCGCAGACGCCCCACCCTCGAGAAGGCGCGCCCCGGGCGGCTGCTGCGGGCCGACGGGCTGAGCGATGCACCTGACACGCCGGCCCGGGCCAGGGC